ATTAATGTGCACTGTGAGCTACATTATGTCGCTAAATTACACAGCTTCTGATGCAAAAAAAAATTAGTTTTACTATGGGCCTTTGTTACCTTTCAACATAATTTAATGAGCTGCATAGACAATTTAGAGAAATTGAGGACTAGGTTTAATGTCTTTGTAATGAACCCATCAGGGAGAGGGGGGAGAAAGAGACCAAGAGGAGATAATGGGAGAGGGAACAGTTTCAGAAACAGGTATGCAGAGCAGTCTTTCCCAGCCATTCACTGGTTTAATTAATGTTTATTGAGTACCTACTGTGCCAGGCAGTGGGCTGGAAGCATGGAGAGCTCAGGACCTCATGGTCTTGCCCTATGGGACCTAGTAGAGAGGTTTTGAACTCAGAGAGCTTAGCAGGGTGGTGGTGGGGGGGGGGGTGCGGGTAAGTGCTTAGGATTGGTGGTAGGGAAGCAGAGATGCATTCTGGAAAATGAAAGCCTAAAAAATGCATTTTAGAGAGGTTTAAAGACAAGCTTAAAAATCTCAGGAAATATGTGTGCATTCCATTCTGTAAAGTTGGGGAAAAGTGAAAGTGAACTCACTCAGTCGTGTCTGACTCTTGGTGGCCCATGGACTGTAGTCACTCAAGCTCCTCCGTCCGTGGGACTTCCCAGGCAAGAGTACTGGAGTGGGTGCCACTGCCTTCTCGAGCGGACCTTCCTGACCCAGGGGTCGAACCTAGGCCTCCCTCATTACAGGCAGACTCCTTACCATCTGAGCCACTAGGGAATCCCAAAAAGTTGGGGGAAAACTCATCCAAATAATATAGAATGAAAGTATTATTTATAATACATTTCCCTAATCATTTTTAGAAGACTTTTTATAAGGATCATCCTTTTCAAAGTCTGTACTGACTTTTGCTGTAACATTGCTTCTGTTTTATGCTTTGGTTTCTTGGCCCAGAGGCATGTGGGATCTTAGTTCTCTTGGCCAGGGATCGAACCTGTACCCACTGTCTTGGAAGGCCAAGTGCTAACCACTAGATCATCAGGGAAGCCACCCTAATCATTGTTTAAAGCACTGAAAGAAGCACATGCTAGTTTTTAATAAAGGAAGCTTATGGAAAAGGCTGAATGAGTTGTTTCTATATAGCTAAACTAAAGATAAAATATTTTGAAAATCACCCCAAAATACAAGGCTAACTTCAATGCACTGCCTACAGCAAGAATATTACCATGTTTCCCGTGTTCCAAATTTTCAAAATTAATTCTCTCTAGGAAACCAAACATAACTCAAATTCCTCTTGGCTAAGGTTAAATGATAGTTTGTCCTGAATATTTTCATGAACATGAAACAGAGGAGCGAATGCCCTAAGGAGGAGAGTCACTCCTCTTGCATCTTCTGTTCTTTGTGGGGGTTGCTGGCATCCATTTCTTATTGACTAGATGATTTCCATTCTCTCAAACATCCAAACAAGTCCCTTGGGCCAGACTGAAGGCAGGTGTGGCAGAGTGAATGTACCACTGTGGTCCTCTCGTGGGGGATAATAAGAAAGTACTGACCCCATTCATTGTGGGGCCTAAAACTTTGTTGCTGGGAACAGTGATCTCACAAAACTCCCACAGGCATTTTAATTCTCAAAAGACCCAAATAGCATCATTGTCTATCTCGGGTGCCCAATGCCTCCTAAGCCTTGCACACGTGGCCACGTCTCTGGTACTACCCCCTCATCACCTGTGCACAGGCTCCCCTGACTCCCTCCCAGTCCCCCAGGACACTAAGTATCTCTATCCTGCCTGGATCCTCCTTTCTGCGGCTCCTCCTAAAGAAGTGGCTGACACCAAGAACTTGAGGCTGGGTGGTGATGCATCATGAGACAGGACCAGACCTCACTGGGTGGTTCAGCGAACACCTATTCTCCTCCCCCTCTCCTGCTCCTTGGACTCCAGGTCTCACATGGCTCCTCTCACTGTCCTAACACTGTCACCTTAGAGGTCACCAAAAAGGCATTGCTTTCGAGACACTTGCTCTGCAGACAGTGACTCTCCCCTGGATCTCCACCAGCTGGGGTCCGCTCTCCATCCTCAGGTCCTTCGGGTCCCTGGCTCTCCACACGGCTACACAGCCTCTCACTCAGCACACCGTGCAGAAGATGCTGGAACCTTCCAGGAGACTGGCTGTTCACAAACTGAAGCACACATCAGTCACCTGGAAGGCTGGGCCACCTTCCTGGGCCCGTTACACACAGATTGATTCAGGATGGGGACAGGGTATGGCAAGGAGCATCTGCACTTCTAACAAGTGTCTGAGTGACGCTGATGCTGAGGATCCAGGGACCACACTTGAAAACCACTTTGATTTCTTTGTATCAATGGAGCTTGTGTGCACAAGCTCTCCTTTATATAATATGATTCCTTTTCTTTTTTTTCCTCTTGCCTAATTGCCTACTCCTTTCAATTTATATTTTCCTTTTTTGGCTTCCTCCGCTCCTTTCTGCACCTTGAGTCTTCCAATAACCCTGCTGGGCCTTTTTAGCTCTACTCACAGAAAAGAGGACAGCAGTGTTTCCTATCTCTGGCTCCATCATGTTCACCTCTAAAATATCAGATGTAGTTGTGCATTCTGCCAGGCAAACTAATCTGTGATATTTCAAATGTATTTCATGGACCAGAATAAACTGGCATATTTGAGCAAAGCCGTGTTCCAGCTATATTAGAGTATAAAAACTGGCATGAAAATCAGGTCTCATGTAAACAGGAGATTATTATTACTTAGAATCCTATAATGTGCCCATCATATGGATCTCTAGGGCATTTGCAAACCCATTTTTACATAATTATGTGAAGAACATGTATTTTATATGAGATGGTGAAATTAAATACAAAATAGGGCATTTTGAAATGGCTGTAATGTTTTAAATGAAGAAATGAAACTGTTTCGAGACATATGTAGGAGAGAAAATTTATAGACAGCAGTTTTTAAGAGGCTCTATTAATTCCAAAGAAAACACAGGATGAAAATGAAATACGCAAAGAATAAAATAAGAGGTCTCCCATAAAAATCAGGCTATGTGGTTCAAGTGGTTTGTCTGCCTCCTAACAATGTGAATCTTACAATGTGATGCTCACGCGCATTAGCATTTCAATGGCACAGCACTCCTGTTACACACTGTTGGACTGCTGTGATCAGCCCCTTCCCTCTGCCCCCCAATCTTGAGAGGCTCCTAAAGCGGGGAGGACGTGACTGGCTGGTGAATCTCCCATCTACACCTGTGCCAACCAAGCCTGGTATTTTCTAACCAGTTGCTGGATGTTGGTGGAAAAATGAAAGACACAAATCAAATTCATCTCGTATCCATTCCATTCAGGAAGCATCCAATTTATAAAGCAGCTTTTGGAATTACAGACTACTTTATTCCATCCTAGAATGTCCCACACAGAGGCTATTCCCAACAATGCTTACACAAGTCTAAACAATTTCTAGATCAAATGGAAATATTTAAGAAACATATATCATCATTTCCAAATTTGACAGTAATATTTTGCTTTTATTTTCACGTAACGTGTCCTTGTGAAAAGTGAAAAAGTGTTAGTCACTCAGTCATGTCTGACTCTTTGTGAACCCATGAACCACAGCCCACCAGACTCCTCTGTCCATGGGATTCTTCAGGCAAGAATACTAGAGTGGGCTGCCATTTCCTTCTCCAGGGGATCTTCCCGACGCAGGGATTAAACCCACGTCTCCCGCACTGCAGGCAGATTCTTTACTGCTAAGCCTGACAGCACTGTCCTTATATAAGCGTAAAATGCATGAAACTGTTGTATACAAACAATTTTATAAATTACTATTATATTAGCTACTTTGACAATTTGCCTTTCACCAAATTAGAGCCCCATTTGTACTGTGCGCCTTCTCAGTAGGTGAGTGGGAGGTCCACCTGTGTGCACAATCAGTTCTAGGGGAGAAGGAGAATCACACTTTCCCACACCCTAGAGGGAGTTCTGCAGGTGTGCTCTGTGACAGCTCCCTTCAGTGGTGCCCTCTGCGGCCTGGCTCTGGGAGAATGATGACCGTCCCCTCTCAAGGACCGAGCAGCCGGGGGTCAACATCAGCTCCAGTGGGAGCGGCGGTGTTGCTTTGACACTGAGGAGCTGCACACCCGAGGCCAGATGGAGGCCTCCCGAGTTTGTAGGTGGCTGATGGCATCAGCCAAGCAGTAAGGTGCGCTGGGAAGAGCATAATCCTTCGGCAGCATCGGGGCGTATCCCTCAACTTTGCTCTATAAACTGAGGACAACTAGGAGTGTTTTCCACATGGGAACAGGTAAAGGAGATGATCAAAGGGGTAATATGGATGGAACGTTAACACTGAGACGCAGCATGAGAGTACTTTTGCCTCTTAAGTGTCTTTTCAGCCTTAATTACACAAACAAAAGAGAAGCTCCAGAGGTTTCCCAGCATAAGATCAAGGAAGCCAACGGCAAGGATGGGAATAAACGCACATCTTCTCAGCTTCTTCTCACCTGCGGTCCCCATGGTTGACTGTCCACATCCTGCAGAGGAAGATGCTGCTCATCTGGAAATGCAGGAGCTAAGACTGAACCCAGAATTCCGCTTTGTCTGCATTTCTTCTTCCATCTACCTCTGACTCCACTTCTGCCTGTCACAGTCTGTGTGCAGGCTGGAAAACAATTTCCGGACATGAGGCAGAACGAGAGGAGAAGAGAGTTTATGAGAGTAGGAGATGCTGTTAGAACAGAGGGCAGGTTCAAGGGAGAGCTGGTGCTTTCGTGGTAGGCTAGTAGCCAATTTTTAGAGCTTCAGAAAAAAGAAAATTCCTGCTGGGAGGATGGTAATCAGGTGGTGGGTTAAGGTGCTATAGGGTGGGTCATAGGGCAGGTATTTTTACCTAATATGGGATCAGGGAGCTGGCTGGTTTAGGTCAGGGGGAGCTCATGGCAACAGTTGCTATGGGGCTTGGTCAATTCCGGAGATGACCCTGGTACAGGGCTGCGTGTCTGCGGCCTTGGGACAAGGCCTCGCACCTGTGACCTTGGTGTTGGGCTCCACACGGCCCAGACTCTCCAGCACCGTGGACTGAAACGTCTGTTCCTATAACTGGTGCGACTCCAATGGGCACATGGAGATTTAAGTCCTGAGGGGGGCACTGCTTCCTTCTCACAGACCTCTTCACCCATCTCTAAGGATCTGGGCACCACTCCTCTGAGACATGCGCACCGAGTCGTGGAGCAAAGAGGAAGCTGAGGAGACGTCCATGCGTGTGGACGTCTCACACAGCCACCTTCTGAAAAAGTTCTGCCACCTTACTGCTGCGGTTCAGGACCAGGCCTTACTCGGGTAACGAAACCAACCGTGCTACTCGAACCCCACCCGACTGAATGGACTGCAGGTTATCTGTATGTGTGAGCCTTCCTTGCAGCCATGGAGGAGACCATAAATAAAGATGCACATGTTTCCATGCAAGAGGAGGTGTCCGTTTCTAGCCTGGGGCTCCCTCAGCCTGACTTCAAAATTTACGTGTGTTCTATTTCTCAGCATGAAGCCACAATTTTCTTCAAATATAAAATGTCCAAGATTCAATCAAATGAATTATCCTCCCAATATCCTGATCCATTCAGTCTTTTTAATTTATTTTTTTTGCTACAAAATATGCATCAATAACACAAATTAGCACTATGGGACTGGTTGACAGAGGCACAATGTCATTTTAAGGAGGAAGTTACACAGGTTTGTAAATGGCTTTCCTCAGTACATTAGTATTTTTCAGTCAGTTACACCAGTTGAACTCAAGATATTACAGTGCTGGGAGCTGTGGGAGAACACTGTACTAGACACAATTCACCAGGTCCCTCAGCTCAGTCTGGCCATGTGCTTGGTCTTAGAAAGACTAACCATGTGGGTCTCCCCACTTAACTGGAGCTCTGTAACTCAACAGTCTGAGCCCGACCATCAAGTAACTCTCACTTTTCTTCATAGCAACATCTTGCATAGGAAGCACTCCTTTATGGGGAATCAAGCATGTCTTTCCAATGGCACTAGTACTTTTAATTAGGCATTTCCATGCTGAGATTACAAAGTAGCGTATCTTCTGAGTTGTCTGTTCTAACACTATTTTCCCATGAGCTTGGCCATTACCTGTATCATTTTTCAGAACCCCAGGTTTTTCCAAGACTGCATATACTGTACTACAGCACAAACATCTGAAATCTAGATAGCATGGTAACTTCATTTGAAACAAAGAATGCAGAACTTTGTTGAAAATGAGGTTACCAAGCTATCTGGTACTCTTCCCCAGCTTCCCACACCCTCTCAGTTTCTATAGATTTGGTTGTTAATTATCACTCTGAACTGGCTGAGTTTTAGTAAAAATAAGACTGAACTGATAAAAACATGGTCCACTACCTACACAACCACTTGAATTACTGTTGCTGTTCAGCTGCTAAGTCAGGACCCACTCTTTGTGACCCCGTGGACTGCAGCACAGGATTGCCTCTCCTTCACTAATCTCCCAGAGTTTGCTCAAATTCATGTCCACCGAGTCAGGGATGCTATCGAATCATCTCATCCTCTGCCACCCACTTCTCCTTTTGCCCTTACTCTTTCCCAGCATCAGGTGGCCAAAGTATTGAAGCTTCAGCATCAGTCCTAATGAATGTTCAGGGTTGATTTCCTTTAAGATTGACTGGTTTGATCTCACTGCAGTACAAGGGATGCTCAAGAGTCTTCTTCAGCACCACAATCTGAAAGCACCAATTCTTCGGTGCTCAGCCTTCTTCATGGTCCAACTCTCACATCCATACATGATTACTGGAAAAACCATAGCTTTGTCTATATGGACCTTTGTCAGCAAAGTGACGTCTCTGCTTTTTAATAATACACTGTCTAGGTTTGTCATAGTTTCCTTGCAAGGAGCAAGCGTCTCTTAATTTCATTTCTCCAGCCACCATATGCAGTGATTTTGGAGCCCAAGAAAATAAAAGCTGCCACTGTTTCTACTTTTCCCCCTTCTATTTGCCATGAAGTGACTGGAACAGATGACATGATCATAGTTTCTTGAATGCTGAATTTTAAGCCAACTTTTTCACTCTCCTCTCACACCCTCATCAAGAAGCTCTTTAGCTCCTCTTCACTTTCTGCCCTTAGAGTGGTATCACCTGCATATTTGAGGTTGTTGATATTTCTCCTGGCAATCTTGATTCCAGCTTGTGATTCATCCAGCCCAGTATTTCACATGATGTATTCTGCATATAAGTTAAATAAGCAGGGTGACACTGAATTACTCTTTTCCCAATTTGGAACCAGTCTGTTGTTCCATGTCTGCTTCTAACTGTTGCTTCTTGACTTCCATACAGGTTTCTCAGGAGACAGTTAAGGGTCTGGTATTCCCATCTTTTTAAGAATTTTCCATAGTTGTGATCCACATGGTCAAAGGCTTTGATGTAGTCAATAAAGCAGAAGTAGATGTTTTTCTGGAATTCCCTTGCTTTCTCTACAGCCCAAAGAATGTTGGCAATTTGACCTCCGGTTCCTCTCTTGGTTCATGTACTGCTGAAGCCTAGCTTGAAGGGTTTTGAGCAATTGTATGGCAGTTTGGACATTCTTTGGCGTTGCCTTTGTTTGGAATTGGAGTGAAAACTGACCTTTTCTAGTCCTGTGGCCACTGCTGAATTTTCCGAATTTGTTGGCATATTGATTCAGCATTTTAACAGGATCATCTTTTAGGATTTGAAATAGCTCAGCTGGAATTCCATCACCTCCACTAACTTCGCTCATAGTGATGCTTCCTAAGGCCCACATGACTTTACACTCCAGGATGTCTGACTCTAGGTGAATGACCATGCCACTGTGGTTATCTGGGTCATTAAGACTTTTTTTGTATACTTCTGTGCATTCTTGCCACCTCTTCTTAACTTCTTCTGCTTCTGTTAGGTCCAAACCATTTCTGTCCTTTATCATGCCCATCCTTGCATGAAATGTTCCCTTGATATCTCCAATTTGCTCAAAGAGATTTCTAGTCTTTCCCATTCTATCGTTTTTCTCCTATAATTCTACTGAATTATAAGTATGCTTAAATAAACATTTTGAGATTTTTGGCATAACTTGAGGCATTACTGGGCTTCCCTTGTGGCTCAGCTGGTAAAGAATCTGCCTGCAATGTGGGAGACCTGGTTTCAGTCCATGGGTTGGGAAGATCCCTTAGAACAGGGAAAAGGCTACCCACTCCAGTATTCTGGCCTGGAGGCATTACAGTCTGAGTTTATATGGAGAACAGTGGCAGATAAACTTCCAGGTATGAACTAGTGTCCACTTAAAAGCAGAATGTTAACTACTATGAACTGGTCCCATTGCTCATTATCCCTAAGCCCCATGGATGGCTTACTGACTTCAGAAAGAAGTAATACCACATGGAATTATGGTATCAAGAAGGACGAGAAATACATCTTGTTTAGGTTTGCAGTTCAGTGGCTGGGCCCACATATAAAGATACTACAGTGGCCAAATATGCAAAGGGAATGTCCTTTCACTTTTTGGCAAAAGAGAGTCATGAAGAATAAGATTCTGGAAATATACTGGTTCAAAGAAACCATATTTCTTTGGTGCAATAGTAATTGAGTACACAAGACATGCACTGAAAAACCACGTGGTTCAGCAAAGCTACATTAGGAGCTGTTGCTTGTGTCAAGACTAATAGCTGGGCCTCAAAAGATGCTAGCTAACACTGCTCCAAATGTCTACTGCCACCAGTTATGTTTCATGGGTATAAGTGCATACACACACACACACACACATGCATTACACAGATCTAGTTTCAGTTTTATCCCTTGAGATCATATGATGCTCACAGGCTGATGTAGATACTCACACCTCAAAGAGTATACAGATTGCTTCGAGAAGGAAAACATCTGAAAAGAACCAAAAAATATTATGCCCCCCAATCTTCATAGATTCAGTTTATTATTATGCATATATGCACAAACATGAACCTGTAAATTCCATATGTCTGAAGTGCTCTATAGCCATAAACAAAATAAGGTTATAAAGAAAAAAATATGTAAGATTATAAAAGAAATGAAAAACCACCTCTCTCCGATATAATGGATAATGTTAGTTTATTGAAACCATACCCGTGCTCCCTGTGTGAACATGGCCTGCCTGCCTGGTCAGGAACAGCGTCTGTGGTGCTGTCACCTCACCACTGCTTTCTGCTTTGTAGAAACCAATTTCTTCCTCTCTAGTTCTGAATGTAAACCACTCCACAACCCTCTATGCTGTGGAGACCTCACTGGCAGAAACACATTATCATCTCCATATTTCGTCTGCCTCTGTTGCTCCCTGAATAATGTCCCACAATTAAAGTAATACTAGTTGGCACTAACATGATAGTAAAACTCCATCACAATATGGTCATCCAGATGATCAAGAATACACTCAGATCCATTCTACTTAGATTACCACTGTGATAAAAAAAAAACACACAGAACACAGAACATCTCACCCGAGGAAACACCAACCCTCAAGAATATACTCAGAGATGTGGATGTGAGAACAATGAATTCAGCAAAGAGGTATCTGAAAGGCAGAATCCATACCCTACCGATGGACACGGGTCATTCAAATGTTTTTACCGCTTTTATTTTTTGTGATTTAGGCAAGCCGTTTAAACTTTACTGAGCTTCCCTGGGGGCTCTGACAGTAAAGAATCCCCCACAATGCAGGGTTGGACCCCTGGGTCAGGAAGATCCTCTGGAGAAGGGAATGGCTACCCACTCCAGTATTCTTGCCTGGAAAATTTCATGGACAGAGGAGCATGGCAGGTTACAGTCTGTGGGATCACAAAGAGTTGGACATGACTGAGCAACTAACAGTTTTAATCTTTTTAAGCCTTAGTTTCTTCATCTGCAAAGTCATGAAAGTAGCACCATTCTAAGAACACAGCAGTGTGGATTAAAAATGAGATTAGATGAGATAATGCTGGCCAAATATTTAATACAGCAAGTCCTCAATGCATGTTAACTATTTCTATGATTTTAGCAATACTCATTCAACAAACATTTGTTGTGTGTCAGGCACTGGACTTTATGTTGGGGGCTAAGAAAGAAAAGGCAGAGCTGACGTCCTCAAGGGGATCAAAGTCTGTAGGAAACACATGAGAAGAGAGGACTGTGGGATATAAATGCCATGCTAAAGAGATGCTGGAAGTGTGCTTATTGATTGGGGACTGGTTGCCAATCAGCTGCTTTCTTGCCAATTTTAAACCATAATCTCAAAAAGTCTGTGAGGGAGAGAGACAAGGATATAAGTGAAGTTTACCACAGTCATTGTTGAAACATTTGAAACTTCATGATTTCCAGGTAAAGGGGGTGAGCTGAAGTCCCCTCCTGACATGATTTAGGACCCAGAAGTTCCTCACGCATATATGCTAAGTCATTTCAGTTGTGTCCGACTCTGCAACCCTAT